TATTTAAAATGTATCTATCTATTTTTTTTCATCTACCATGCCTCAATTGTTTCTAAAAAGACTATCATGCATTTGTAGAAAGATATATATTCATGTATCAAGTATCAAAAGCTGGCTTCATAAGGTGTGTCAACTTGCAGTCTTTGATTGGTTTTTTTATTGGTATAAAGACTAAAGAACATGTCATGTAATTGAAGTTTACCTTGTAGTAATTTTCACTTAGTTGTAACATTTCTATGGTCTATTCTTTCGTAGGGAAAGAGCCTTTTGTCTTTGCTATTTAAGTTTGCATTCATATATGGGTTTCCCCTCGTTCTTTGTTAAAACATATTTTACAAATAATTAGAAGAGCCTCAAATAATTTGGGACGATACCTGTCAGAATGTCTTCCCCACTATAGATCTAATCACAGTGTTTATTAGGAGAGGTCCTGCTATGTGTGCTGGGAATAGCAAGTATCATCTTGCAGCTGCTTGAAAATGGGCTTCCCCCATGATTATTTCAAATGTTCTGGCATTCTCTCCCCATTAAATTTGGGAACATTTGCTTTAACCTCATCTCAGCTTCTTTTGAAAGCTTACCACTCACATAAACCATTCCAATATGAATATTAGAAGACAGTCCTTCACCATTTTAATTAATATATATTTATTTTACTAAATAAATAAAAATAATTAATCTAACCAAAAACTAACTGCATTTAGTATAAATAGTCCTCAGTTAATAACAGTAATTGGGTCTAGAATTTCCGTTGCTAAGTATGTAGTCATAAAGTCATGCAGACTTCATATGACTATGCCACTTAGCAACAGCACTTCTGGTTGCCATCATGAAGCAAATCCTATGACATTATGGAATAATGTCAGATCAACAATTTCACATGGTCATCATTTGCAACCTCCTGCCAGATCCCCATTGACTTTGCTTGTCAGAAGCTGGAAGGGAATGTTACAAGTAGTGATCACATGACCATGGGGATGTTATGACATTGTAATTGCAAGCTGGTTGCCAAGTTCCCAGATTGTGATCAAATGATTGTGGGACACAGCAATGACCAGAAATTTGAGGACTCATTGTAAGTACCATTCATAAAGTGCTGTCATAACTTTGAATGTTGCTGAACAAGGTTATTAAGAATACCTGTTATTATTAATTTCATTTTAATATATTGCATTGCTCTTTTATTATAAATGGATTTGAGATAATTTGGCAGGGTATAAGTATATTAAATATATAATACTGAACAAGTAATCTTTCAAGTATCTCTTAGGCTTAAATGTATTTTGGCAATTCTGGACAAGTAAGTTCCATTTGAATTGAAAAGGATATATTATTTTTGTTTTTCATTTTTTAATGTATCTTACATCAATCTAAAGATCAGGAAAGATGTACCTAAGGCATCTATTATACACAACAAAGAATTCAATTTAGGCAAGTGGCAAATATATGTGAAATAGAGGTTGACTGCAAAAATAGTAAACATTTCTGGGCTAAACTTTGCGTGAACATAACTTGGCTCTCAGATCAAGTGTAAATTCTGAATTATTTCACAGTAAAGCGACAAGCCTGGAGAAATGTGTTAATCTTGAAAGCTCTAAGTGCACTAGAATCTAAAAATCTATCTCTTTCATTCTAAACTTATCAGACTATTAGGATTTGCAAGAAAGACATTCTTAAAGATATTTCCATTGCCAATGGCCAATTAATTAGCATACCAGAAATGACTTTCATCAAGCCCAAATTCTGAAATGCACTCTCTTCAGAAAGGGTTCCCATTTTTTTTAGTGTTTAGCTATGTGTTAAAGGCACATTTTATTTAATATATTTAAATTATATTTATTTTAATTATTGTGATTATTTTAATAGATATAGGTTTTCTACTAAAAATTCTAATAGAATTTTTAGAATAGGATTATTGTTATATTTTTGTTGTTTTGTTGTTTATAAACTGTACACAATCCTTTAACAATTTTAGGAGAAAGCTGTTAAATAATTAATATACTTACTAAGTTAATTTAACATAATATTTAAAATATGTTAGCTATGGATAATATTTTAATTCTGTGGACAATATTTAAAAAGATTAAACATATGCAGTTTCTACACTTTAATTCTTAAGCAACAACAGACTTGCAAAAGTGTCATGTGACTTGACCTGTGTAACTGAGTGTTCTGTTATTGACCCCTATTTTTTAATTAACACCTGAAAGACAGGCTGCTTAGAGAAGCTAGCACTTCCTATTCACTTTGCAAGTGATAACAAACTTTCTGTTCTAACTTTAATTAAATGTTTCAGCTTTTTTGTCTTAGTTAGGCACTCAATACCTGCTAGACACTTAATCCTCATTAATAGGAATCTTCCGCACCGTACCTAAACCAAGCATCTGTTGGGAGGGGGGGAATTGCTTACAAGGTATAAAATTTGTCAGCAAAAGCAATTCTTTTGTGATTAGAATTCTGAAGACTGCCCAGAACACTTCGGCTCACCCTGGAAGCTGGACGCAATTAAAGGGGACAATTTAAATAAACATGACACTACTTGTTTCCCTCCTGGCATCTAATTTCTTCCTGCTACAGTATCCATTCTGAAAATTCTAAATTGGCCAGTCACATAAGAATTTCAGAAAATACTGAATATTTTGTAGCTGAAATTTTATTTGGAGGTTCTATTTATTACCTTTTAGATTTTAGAAGTCAGATTATATTTTGCTAAAAGTACATTAATTTGGAATTCCTAATATTTCTTCTTCTTAAACTATTGTATTCCCTCTTTTCTCTGAAACCAAGAGTTGAGGTAGTATTACAAATCTTGATTAATATAGTACAGGTTTGCAAATGGAGCTAAAGGAAGGTGGAACTGCCTATCAGGCATGAACAAAACATAAATATATTTTATTTTTTTTAAAAAACAAAGTGCTACATTTTCAAACCAATAATTTCTACTGATTATTTGACAGTGATAGGAGATTTTAAATAAACATTAGTGTACTTTGTTACGATTCTGTTCAGCCTGAACATTTTGTTAGTTTTGCAATAGTGGCCAATATCTGAGAAAGTTTCTAGTAGTCTGAAAGTTGAGTCATGGCAACTGAACTTAGTTTATTGTTGGTTTGAGACATTTAGCTGCCCATCCAAGCAGCTTCTTCAATCTGAACCTATTAGTTAGAAGAATCTGAGGCAACTGGACTTTCTGGTTTTTCTTTGAAGACGTTTCACTTTTCATCCAAGAAGCTTCTTCCGCTCTCTTGAAAAAGCACCTTTGGGATTATCAATGTTCAACTATTTAAAAAGGCTTGTATATCCAAACAAACAATAACATGATTAGTCTGATTTATTGTTTTGGATTGCTTGTAGCATTGGAAATGAACTCTTAAATACTTTTTAAATACTTTATGCTACAATGGACATTTAAAGCTCTCTGACTATTAGTTTTGCTGTGGGGTGGTTTAGTGTTAACCCTGCCAATAACTATTTTTACAAACAGGTTATTACATAATTTATTTCATACTGTCATATTATATATTTGTGCTATGGTTATGTTTTCCAGAAATATTTGGATGCCTCATTTTAAAGTTGAACTGTTGAATTAAAAACACTGTTTTCTCCTTCGTGTTATTTCTTTCTAAAAATTCTTATTTTAAGTAAAGGTTAAATATAAAAACTGTATTGCACATGAACAAACATTTATTGGTTAAAACAGAGTGACTGATCAGTAGGAAAATATCTATATAAAATTTTTATCATAGGCAGACTTAAATATTAAGAAACAAATGAAAAATAGAGAAAAGTTCAACATTCTAATACTGGCAATTCTAAGATTACATACACTATTTCGTTTTAGTTTCTTATTTATGAAATCATCAGCTTCATCATAGCAAAGCTGTGATGCAATCTCATCTTTGTAAAATTACTTTTATGATAGTAACATTATCTCCCTTCAAAATTTTACTTTCGAAAAAGCATGCAAGCCTAACATATACCGACATTATTTTAATTTATAAACAAAAATAGCAATACATTTTAAAAGATTTTAAACGGGTCAAAATATGTAGAAGACATGCCCACAATATTCATTATATTTTCTATGTCATATAGGTATGTTCATATGGAGGGGAAAAATCATTAGCATCCTTGCTCAGAGTACAAAAACTGCCAGTTAATGAAGTTGCCTTTGGTTACTATTCTTGGAATAATTTACTGAGCAGGTACATAATTGGCGCCCCCTAACGATGCTTCAACCACAATTCTTTATTTTTAATCACAACAAGATCGTCGTGGACGATCAAAAAGACACACCATAAATAAGTAGGTGGAAAGATGAGACCGGGTTTTTATTGATCTCATCGGGTTAGTTTTACACGCGGACTTCGGAAAGCCATTTTTGATCACCTCAACAAGGTCACTTGTTTAAACGAAACACGAATCCTTTATAACTCCCTAGCCCTGGATGAGAGAGGCTAACTGGATTTCTGCACGAGCGAACACCGTCCATCTTTCACTTCGAGGGCACTGCCTACACGATCGGTGCAGAATTTTGAAGAGAATTTTCTCTCGCATGCCATCTTGCAGTGAGAAAGCAAGGGAGCCAAATCGGGTGGAGACAGAGAAAGCTCTTGAGCTGCAGCGGGATGAGGCATAACGTTGCACCTGCCACCCTTTCCGAAAAACGAAGCGAGGTCGCTCACTGCCGCCACCAAAAGAGCAGCGGCCCCGCATCCCTCAGATCTCCTCCACCACCAACCCTTCCAAAAACGGCACCCCCCCCCCACTACCCCCAAACGCCATTTTCTGACAAAGAACCAAGTTGGGCTCCCTGGGAGAGACACGGACGTGCAAGACAGAGGCAGAGCGCGCTCGAGGGCGCGCGCGCAACAGGGATCGCAACCGCCGCTCCGCCCGCGAGCCAGCCGTTTTGCTGGGGGGGGGGGACAGGGGGGAAGAGGCGGCGGCGAAGCAGCCTCTCCCCCCCCCCTCAGGACAGGAGGCGGCTCTGGACCTACCCACGCCGTATTTTTCGTCCTCCGTTGGGATCCACATGCTGCTCCCCGCGCCGCCGGGGCTGCTCCTGAAGCCGGCTCCCCCCTGCCGGAGTGGAGCTCCTGAGCCGCGATGTTCATTGACGAGCAGAGGAGGCGGCTTTTCCTGACGAGCCCGGGGCCGCTGCTCCGTACAGCCCCCAGGGCAGCGCGGCTGTGGCGGCGGCGGCGACGTCTTCTCCGTCTCCGCGGGCCAGCAAGTGCGCGGGTGAGAGAGGGCGACGGCGGGCGCAGAAGCGGGCAAGCCTTGTCCCCGGAGAGACTCGGCAGATTCCGTTGCGCTGGTGAAGGGAGAGCCTAGCGCTCGCTCCCCCAGGACGGCTCTGAGGCAGGACGGCTCCGAGGAAAGGACAGCTCCTCGCCTTTAATCCACTAGCCACGACGGCCCCGCTCCTCAGCCTGACTTTCTTCCTTCCCCGGTGGTGGCGGGAGATAAAAGAACGGACGGCAGCCCTCAAACGCTTCCTCGGCGGCGGCGGCGGCGCGACAACGACTGTTGTTGTCTCCCCCGCTCGCTCCTGCTGAAGGACTCCCGCGCCCACCCACTTGGCAACCAGGCGCATGCGTGGAAGCTCCCGCTGCCGGCCTTCCCGCGCGATCTCGGTCGGCGTTTGCGTTGCATCCTGCTGCTGAGGTGGGCGAGGAGCGGGAGTTGCGGGCTGGCGGGCATGCGGGGCGGGGGGGGGTGGCGGTCTCCCTTTGCGGGAATTTTTCTTCGGATGTTCATTCCTTGCCCATCCAAACTACGGTAGCGGGTAAGCTGGAGCCCGCTGGATCCGCTGAATCCTAAATCCTTCGGAAATCGATAGGGTTTTGAGAACGCATGCCAATAAAATGAGAGTACTAAAAAGAAATGGCCTCTCTGGAATCAAGAAGATTACTGAATGTCTATGGAGATTCTCAGCCATCAGGTCATGGTTGTCCCAAAGGTGCTTTTTCAAGAGGCAACTTGAAAAGTGCAGTTGGCTCTTGAAAAAGCACAATTGGGACAAGATGATTATTGCCATTAAAAAAATTGACTTAAAGGCACACTTCGTAAAAATGTTCTATCCCACCCTAAAAGGATACATCGGAAAACAGAAGAAAATGCCACAATTCCCATACCCCCCCCCCAAATTTAAGATATATCTGGTTCATCAACCATTAGGTAGACTTAAGATAGACCATGAATAGGAAGGCTTTAACTCTAAGAAGCTAAGTAATACGTAGAAAAATAAATGGAATGCAGTGGTATATGATGGAAGAAACCTGGTTTTGTAATAATATTTGAGAAAAAATATTGGAATTGGCCATGGAGCATGTCCTTCTGAAAAGGCATAGTCCTCAACTTACAACCATTCATTTAGCAACCATTCAAAGTTTCAACAGCCCTGAAAAAAGTGACTTATGGCCATTTTTTACAACCATTGCTACATCCTTTGGTCATGATCAAATTTTGGATGCTTGGCAACTGGCTCATATTTGTGATAGTTGCAGTGTCCCAGGATCATATAACCTTGTGCAGCTGTTTGACAAGCAAAGTCAATGGTTCACTTTACAACCATGTTACTAAGTTAACAACTGCAATGATTCACTTAATTGTGGCAAGAAAGGTCATAAAATGGGGCAAAGCTCACTTAACTGTCTCGCTTAGCAATGGGAATTTTGGGCTCAACTATGGTCCTAAGTTGAGGACTGCCTGTATTCAATTTTAGGTTGCATCAATAGAAGAATAATTTCCAATACATATTCTGTCCTGTCTTGAGTACCGTCACCAGTTCTTGGACACCATATTTATTTGCTTGCTTGCTTGCTTTTTTATTTGATTTGGATGCTGCATGACTCAGAACAGAAAACAAAATTAAATGGTAAATTCAGCCAATAACACAGAAACATATACCACACATCCAGGAAATATAAAAGATTCAGAGAAATTGGAACAGGGAGAAAAACTAGTTTGGTCTATTAGTTAATGCACCAAGCTAGAAACCAGGAGATTGAGAGTTCCAGTCCTCCTTGTGCATGACTCAGCTCAGTGACTTGGTCCACTCACTTTCAGTTCTACTGACCTCACAGGGTTTTGTGGGGAAAATAGAGGAAGGAATATTAAATATTTTCTCTGCCTTGAATTATTGATAAAAACAGTAAAGGCAGGATGAAAAGGCTAAAAAAAAAGCACTGAGGATTTCCTAAAAGAAGTGATGAGAGAATTAGATGTACGTAGGCCTAATAAAAGACAAGTAGGCACATTTAAACATTTTTAAGTAGCCAATAGGGTGTTACATAGAAGATCATCAGTCAAGTCCACAATCATCACAGAATTGAACACATTGAATAATGGTCTTGTTATTGAAAGCTAGTTTGTTGTTGAATATTTCAAAAACATTATTAATAGTAAGAACTGTTTAATAGTATAATCAATTACAAAGATTATGGTGAGTTTCCTTTTATTGTTTGCATTAAAACAGGTTGAATGAGAGATAGTTTTAATTTCAATTTCTCTGTTGTGCAGAGTTGGATTTCATGGTTCTTTTTTTCTTGCCGATTAGACTATCATAGCTGTAGAAACAATAGTTTTGAAATTATTCAACCAAAGTTCTAGAATGAATTATAGCATTTAGAATAAAGTGAGTCTGAACAGAATGTCTGTAAATGTCTGTAAATGTAAGAATAAATAACAGTATTATTATGAACTGGACTACCAGGCAGGTGAATAGAACAGAATAGAATAGAACAGAATAGAATAGAATAGAAGTTGGAAGGGACCTTGGAGATCTTCTAGTCCTACTCCACTTCAGACACATCTTAAAAACTTCCAGTGTTGGAGTATTCACAACTTTTGGAGTCAAGTTGTTCCTTTGATTGATTGTTCTAACTGTCAGGAAATTTCTCCTTAGTTCTAGGTTGTTTCTCTCCTTGATTAGTTTCCATCCTTTGCTTCTTGTCCTGCCCTCGGGTGTTTTGGAGAATAGCTTGACTTCCTCTTCTTTGTGGCAGTCCCTGAGATATTAGAACACTGCTATCATGTCACTCCTAGTCCTTCCTTACTCTTTGTTTATTTATTTAAAAAATTATATGATCTCTGGGTGACTCATAACAGCAATGAAAGTACAAAAAGCCATAAAATTATTACAAAATCCTAAAAATCTGAGTAATATCTAATACGCTCCTCAAACTTGATGGCCTGGAATTATATTCATTACTACTGGAGATTGTCAGTTTGGGCAAAATTATAAATGACAAGTGTCTTTGATGCAGTATCTGATCTATGGGAGATAATATGCAGCCGTATTTAATACTGCTTTAATAAGCAGTGTTCATGTTTTGCCAAATCATAATCCTGTAGCCTTTTAATAACAAAATATAAATTGACAGTCATATGTCCAGATCCCTTTTAGACTCTGTATTTTGAGCAGCAATAATTAGATGATTATTTGGCTTGATATTCTTACAAACACTGATTCTTATACAGAGATTCTCTAGAATGAACAGTTGTTCAGAACAGCCTGGATTTAATCTTCCCAACCCAAAATAGATAGTAACAGAGCCAGCACTAACATTGCTGATAATTTGTCCCAAATAGATATTAAATATTGGTACCAAATCACCATTACCAGTATCATTGGCTTGCTCTTGCATCAAGCAGCTCACTTGCAGTGTTGGATCATGTTTCTACTAGCTCAGCAATAATATTTCATTTTTCCTATTTTTCAACTACAAAAACAAAATCTTTCACAAAGAAGAAGACATATAAAGAATTCTAATAAATGGGGAAATATTATGAGGTTGAAAAACCAAAAATGAAAGACATAACATTAGGGCTTATGTAAACATTAGGAATAATGTACGGTGGTGATACTAGAAGCACTTGCTCTTGAGGATGGTTCTGATCTCACAAGAGTAGGTGAGGAAGCTTTCCTCCCACTGCATAACAGACTGTGAAATGCTGCTCAATGTTAACGTAATGTAAATGAATTTATTGAAGTGTCAAATGGTTTTTTTTTCATTAGGAGAGATTATACTTTTCCTAGCCTATACATGAAAGACTATTATCCATCTTGCTTTAAAGACGGGTGTCAGATTTAAGTGGTATAATATCTTTGCAACTTTTTCCTGGCCCTTCATCTCTGCAGCCAATTACTGGTTCATCAACTCCAACTTAGCATGATATAAAAATACAATGGTCTTTCAATAGGGGAAAAAAAAATCAGGAACATCATTCAAACCTGCTCCTGCTGGTTGAATAGCAGCAGTCAGCAGATATTTTGCAGATAGCTTCTGAGCTTATTTACTATAGGTAAAAAAGAACTATATACAGTTTAATGAAAGTAAGAATTTTCATTATAAAGCAGCATCATTATAGCCTTAGCATTTGTATATTTATTAGAAGCAATCTTTTCTGAGTTTAATGGGATTCATTGTAGTGTATTTTTAAGATTGTGTAAAAGTATGTAGCTATTACTGAATTATCTGAGATCTTACTGTTCACCAAGCTCCTTTACATGATGGTGAAATCTGAAATAGGATCATCTTAAATTTCCCAGGCCCTAAAAATAAAAGAATAAAAAACTAGGAGGTTTTACTAAATACAGTATAACTAAATATGACTAATTGCACGCAGACATTATTTCTTATGTTTTTTTATTGCTCTTACTTTTCTAGATTATTTGAGCATTAAATGATCAAAGTGACCTTATTCAAAAACATGACTCCTTTCATCACAATGAGCTTTCTGAATTTGCTGTTTGCATGGAATTAAATCTATGCATGACATTTCAACTTGTTGAACTGAATCCTGTTACGCCAGATGGTTTATGAATAAAATATTCACACTAATACTTTTTTCAATCTTGTTTGTTTTTATTTTTTTCCATTTTAGATAAACCCAACATTAAATAACTGCAACCATAGTATAAAAGTTGTATCTCAAAGTGTTAATTTTCTGTAATGTTTACATTTTAAAAATAGGAAGTCTTATAATAGCATTAGACTTAAAAATGTATGGACATGATTTCATACTTAGAACATGTGCCCAACCTTCCCTAACCCATTGCTGAAATATACAATGCACTTTAGTATGTCCTGTTTTAATATTGCATATTGTGTTTTAACATATTGAATGTTCATTAAATATATACCTTAGAACATATGGATACAACATATGGATTGTACAAAATACGATTTTTATTGTTATTAAATACTATAGTTATTTTCCATTCTGAATGCTGTAATACTTATCTAGTAGTTGTTTCATAAGTCTGTTAGATATATACGTGTATTGATTTATTCTCTTCAGCATATATGTTCTGTATTTATGTAATGCAGCAGAATGAAGAGTGCAGAGCTCAGTGAGGTTGCTGTGGAAACCTATTCTGAATCTTTATGCACTGAAGTTCTGTAGTCTATGATGTCCTAGCATAATTTATATTTGGAATACAGTCCAGTTGAATTCAGTACAGAAATGCAGAGTGCAATATTTGTACAGCTTTTCCCTTTACTTAAACATGTTCCTGCTATGACTGAACCTAAATTTTCAATAACTTGGGAAGTTATATTACATTTTGTATTGTTGCTAATACAATAGGATTTCTTACTTTTCTAATATGAATGCCTTTATGTTATAGTGTTGGCAGTTTTGCAGACTCACTACCTGTTAAT